AAAGAGGGAGGGAAACTGAGAGTTGATGTGCAGAGAACCAGAGCACTGGGATTACTCTGCACCTCTGGAAATCCCCACCAACCTAGACCAGCCCCTGATCCACCTCTTTCCTAAAGCCCTGTAGACATCCCAGCCTCCTTTGGTCTAGTGCAGTGGTTCTCTACCTGTGGGTTGTGAACTGTACTAAAGGGCTGCAGCGTTAGGAAGGTTGAGAACCACTGGTCTATTGCTTAAGTGAGAGCTCTATGCTTTGCAGTGCAGTTCAGTGGTTCTCAGCTGGGGACAATTTTGCACCCCAGGGGACATCTGACAATGCCCAGAAACATTTTTGTTCATCACAACTGGTAGATGCTACTAGTATCTAATGGATAGAGGCCAGAGTTATGTATGGGGTCCAAAATGTCCAAGGTGCTGAGATTGAGAAACTGAGAAACCATGGTCCAAAGAAAACCTAGATGTCAGGAGTTTCCTGGAGGTGGGGAATACTGCCTTGTGCCCTCTGTCTGTCCCCATGCCAAGCACAGGGGTTTTACCATCAAAGATGCTCAGAGGATGTTAGCTGACACAACTTGACCTTGAATGAGTCCTCCTGGAATGGAATGCCTGGAATGAGTCCTCCTGGAATACCTCCTGGAATGATATCTTTCCAGCAATGCTGAGAGATGGACACTTAGTATTGCCAGTTTATAGGTGGGGAAACTGAAAACAGAGAGGTGAAGTAACTTGCCCAAAGTCACACAGCTAGTAAGGGACAGACCTAGATTTCAAACTAAAGTATGCCTGACAACCAAGTACAGCACTTACCCTCTGTGCTCTGCCGATTCTCTATAAACAACAAAAGCAGAAGGAAACAATGGCTGAGGGTTTTAGGTGGCTGTTCTGACCAGTGGCTTAGAGGACAGAAGTTCTTTAACATCCTCTGTGACCATCCTCTTTTCTCTTGGAAGTGTGTGGAGTTAATAAATAATCTCCATTATTCTTAAGTATGGGACCCCTTACTCAATTTTATGGAATGAGTAAATGTGTGTGTCCCTTTCTGGCAAACAGATCATACATATTATCATGAGGGGAGATTTTTTTTCCTGGTGAGGGATCCTTCTTTATTTAAGATGATGCTCACAGCCCGGCGCCTGTGGCTCAAGTGGCTAAGGCGCCAGCCACATACACCTAAGGTGGCGGGTTCGAATCCAGCCTGG